TCTGTGGGACGAATAAAGGTATTCTGATTCTGATTCTGATTCTGATATGAACCTTCAGAGTCGCCGTACTTTCTGTTTCTGTTACGCATGCGTGTGGCTGTAGCATTGCTAAGGTAGCAGTATTTGTTTTTAAACATGTCTGAGAAAGCAGGAGAAGTGGATTTAACTGGTGCCAAGCAGAACACGGGTGTGTGGCTTGTAAAGGTGCGTATTTATTGTTTTTAAACGATAGCTCATTGCGTTATAGGATACCTTTTAGGCTTAAACGCAGCTGGGGCTAACGATAAGTAATGTAGCTTAGCCTCTTAAACTACGATCGAATGTAACGATGTGTTGTAGCTAATAACTCATTCACTTAATGATAGCTTTCTATGTAAAACTGCTCATATCCACTCATCACAATATTATGTGTATTCCCAACATGCAATAATATATTGAGTTGACCAGAGACCATCGTTTGGCAATACAACCGGTGTAAACAAAAAGTAATAACAGAGAAAAACGTCTCATGAGGCAGCTTAGGTTTAGGAAAACATGCATGGAGAGAATGTACTGTTTTTTTTCAAATATTTGTCCTAATGCTGATACTGTTATATAGATACATTGTTTCAAAGTTAACGACAATGTGAATAAGTGATGCACACACGGTACCTACACTCAGCTTGGTTTGGTATTCCTTCATTACAATGAAAAAGAGAAAGCTTTTGTATTTGTGGAATTAACTAAAGGGCCCATCGCCCAGTTGTGAAAGCAGCCCTTATAAAATATACTGTGTATGCAGGTGCCCAAGTACCTCTCTGTGCAATGGGCAAAAGCGACCGGCAGAGGAGATGTCGGGAAACTGCGAATCTGCAAGTATGTAAAGAGGTTTATGTGTCTGAGTTTCAATCATGTGATGTTAGTGCAATAACGGTCAACAAACTTACGTTTTAAACCTAAAACTGAGTGTGTTCTGATAAACGGTGTCGTTAGTGTAGTGAACGAGACAGTTTTATGCAGTGTTTTTGTTATTATTTCTAATGCAGTTGAAACTGTTATTTTTGCAAATCAATTCATTCTTATTTTTGCTATATATTTTTTTCTTAAAGGAAAGGAAACCAAGGAAAACCAGAGGTAAGTGATGTCTGGAAGAAGTGCAATGTGTTTTGGTGATGGACAGCTGCCACATGCAGTGCATTGTACAAAGCAAGATCGGATAAAAGTATCTGACTTTGCTCATCATTCTACATTTACAGTCAAGCATAGAGATAGACAGCTTTAGAGCAATATGTATGACACATGTTTATCCAGATTGAGGGTTACTTGTGTGGGTCACAGGCAGCAGAAACACAGATGTAACATAAGTAGCTGGTTATTAGGGTTGAGAATAAAATGAGACCATGTAGTATGTGTGCTTGTGCTGTTAAACTGCTGATCTGGACGCAGGGAAATGGCTGTAACATCATCAGGAGGAAAGATAAAAAGGCTGAGAGAAGTACATGTGGATGATGAAACTGCTGTTCACAGGTGTCCTTTACTTTAAATGAAGAGCTGACTGTGATTGACGGTATAGAGGATAAGACGGTGTCTGCACCTCGCGATCATCCATTCACCATGCAGTCAGTGGGGGGGCAGACGCTGGCGGTCTTCACAGAGAATTCCTCAGGTGAGTTTCTGTTTTCCTTTTTCCAGCCGAGCTAAAGGATGCCAAGTGTTTGCCTGCTGCAAGATGATACCCCTGTAAAATCGGCACGTTTAATTTTCTGTGATTTATGGTGATTGGTTGTAGGCCCACAGGTAAGTTCTGTGTGATCAGGTGGTGGCGCACATCCTGCTAACCTTTTCCACAGCTTGCTGTCTTGTTGCACAGTTGTTCTCCTGCCTGCCATGCTTGTGTCTGTGCTGTGAACTCTCACCAGGTTTTTCCTAGAGTGTTAATCAAAGTCCTACAAAAAACACTCAATGAAAAACAAAAGAGCTGGTCTGTTGGAAGTGTGTTTTCATCCGGTCTTATCTATGTTTGTGTCTCTGTGTATACAGGAATTTTAGTTTCCGTTGTTGATCTTCTGTCTTCATTTGTTTGTGGTTAGACCTTTTCAGTCCACTGCCAATCACCTCAGCAGATTTGGGTATTTGATCCGGCACAATGGCCCCATTTGGAATTAATTTAACATAGTGTAGATCAACATTAACACAAATCATTGCTGAATTTGGAGTTGATTTACTTCGTGCATGGGTTTGTTTGGTTTTGTTTGAACCAGCCTTGTCTGCTCCCTGAATGTAATATAAGTGTTTTGTTGCTTTGGGTGCTGGTGAGCTTGTGCTACTGTGCTTTCTTTAGGATAGCATTAGTGTGTGAGTGTGTTTTGTATTTTAGGGCTGCACAGTTGAAATTGTTTATAGGTTCTTTAGTACAACTTGATTTGGAACTTTTTTTTCAAGATACACCCGTCTAATAAGGCAGCTGCTAAAAGTTGGACAACATATGTCATCGAATTAAATTCAGTAGATCAACATTAAAGACAAAAGGAGAGAGACCATCACTGCTGCGTTGAAAAATAATGCAGTAAAGTGCTAACTATTGCCTTATGGGGGAGTGCTTTGGTAACTTAGTCACATTTTAGTTTGAAAGTATTCAGTTTTCAAAGTAAAGGTTAAGTATTTGTGCAGCTCTGTCATGTATGTGAAGCACAGCATATCTGTGCTAGCTTTTTGTGAGAGCATGCTTGCTTTGCTGATGCGCACGCCTGTGAACTCATCGGATTAGGGCGAGAAGCTCTGTGTGATTTTGTGTGCGACTTAACGCTGGGTGTGGTTCTTGTTGTTCGATCCCCTCCTTCCTTCGTCTCCCATCCCCTGTATTATCATGTTTACCATCCTCCCTCCCTTCCTGTAGGCCAGTCAGAAGAAAGATCTGATGGCAGCAGCTCAGTTTCGGGGGCGGGGGCAGGTCCAGGTGAGTCCTCCGTTTCGCCAGTGAGTGACATGGTTGCACCACCGGGAATCAGACACACTGAGTGCCCATATACATGCTTTGGAAGAGGCATGCATCGGTGCCAAGACTGTGAACACAATGTCCTCATTTAGAGGCCAGTTTTGCCCCGAAGCAACACACAGGCCTCTTTTAAATTTTGGGCACAAATGTGAAATGCATATCATATGAAGCTCACGCACTTTATATGCACTGTTTCTACTGGAGGATCATTGGAAAAGAGAGTCTGTGGCAATTGAGAAGAGTGTTACTGGCTTGTGGTGTTGGTTTCAAAGCCAGTCTTGTTGTGCCATTGTTTTGGCAAAGAAAAATCATATCTGAGTCTTTCTAAATCTTAGCTCAGATCTACTGTAGGTACTTAACAATCAGTTAGTTGGATACTGATTGAATACTTTCATAGCAAAGGACGGTGTCATTTGGCATAAATCTTTCCTCTGGCTCAGACATTCAGTAAGTAAGCCACGATGCGGATGACTTTTGTAGATAACTTCAAGGACTTGGAAGGCACAGCCTGACCTCAATACTGAGCCAGGAGCCAGCCCATGTGACTGGTGTGGAAATAGCCTTGGAAAAAGTGGGAAACTAAGTGATTGTATTCATTTTACTTTCTTGTATAGACAAAATTACACTGAATTAGGAAATTCTTTGGTTGAGTAAAGAGAGCTGTTGACAATACAATTCAATGCTTTGATTTGATGTAAAGCGTCTTTGAGCATAAGGAATAGCGCTATAAATCCCATGTATTATTATTATTATTATTATTATTATTATTATTGTGGGATGAATAATAGTAATAGTGTCGTAGGATGTTGTAGTCACTTTTGAAAAGTCAAGATTACTTTTCATTACTGCAACTTATTCTTTGAACTTAAGGAGAGACCCATTACCCATTCACTGTCTGTGTTCATCACTTTTCTCTTACACACATGGAACTGATCACCCTTCCTTACTTATTAAGTACATTATGCACACAAAAATGCACGTTTTTATTGAGGTGTTAATGAACTGTCCTCTTTTTCAGATAAAATAGCCTTGGAGGGAGTGGTGGTGCAGAGAGCAGAGTGTAGAACTGCTGTGAGTGACAACTATATGAAGCTGAAGAGGTGAGCTTTTTTGAAATGTCTACACACGTTGTTAATTAGTTAGCTAAAAACTTGAACTTGGATTTCAATTGGAATGTTAGACACAAATATTTAGATTTGTATTTTATGTCTACATTATCGAGAAATCTGCAAGGGGACCTATCATGCAAAATGCACTTTTGTATGTGTTTTATACATCAATATGTGACCCCGGTGTGTCAGGGAACTCACGCAGCGTCAGAAAATAAAACCCTCTCTCTTTTCCTCCGTACCCAAATCTCTAAAAACAGGGGTACAACGGAGCTGATCCAGATTTGCGTCCGGCATCACGTCGGCAATGCAGACCCACACCACTATCAGAAATGTTGCTACCAGAAACAATGCCCAACTGTTTGGACGTAATATGATCGGTGTTTACATTAGCATCGCTAACACTCAGAGCTAACCTGTACTGCACAGAGCATATGTGTGAAGAAGCTGGATATAAAAAGGAACTCACCTGGCAAGAGAGACAGCCTTTGAGCTCCATACTGTTTCAGAAATAATCCTTGATAATCCATGATATGGCGTTTCATCACGGCAGTATCTGCCATTAAAATCTCCCGCCCCTTTTTTCTTATTTATTTAAAAAAAAAATAAGCTTTATACCCAGAATCAGCACTTTTGAAAAAGGAAGTGAAATAGAGGGATATGAGGCATGGCTAGAATGGGTGATCTGTTTGGTATTTTGAGCAACACTTCCTAGACATGTTTTTTATATATCTGAGACCTATGCTATTGCCTAAAAATAGTATGATAGGTGATCTTTAATGTCATTGCTTTATGTTTGTTGCATGTTAGATCAAAGTTACGTCTCTCTGTCAAGTTGTGATTTGGTTGGTTTTATTGACTCCTGCCTAAACTTGAAAATGGATTGATTCACTCCAGAAGGACACATGGGACAACTCGAATTTGAATCATTTTTTCTCTTTATTTGAGTGTGGTAGATTCCTTATTGCTTCAATGGCCTCTTGTTGGCCTCTTGATGCTCGTTCAGGTTGAAAACCTTTAACACAAAACATTACTTTCGTTCACTTTAGGTACATAAACCTTTTTTCAACTAAAAACATGCCATCTTTTAACGAGCATTTTCATTTCTTAATTTACAATTAAATGTAACATTTAATCAAAATTAAATGCATTTCAACAAAGTAAATTATATTTCAGCATCTTATATTTTAGCTTCTTTCCTCAGGACTAGAAATAATAATACATCAAATCAAACATGGTTCAAACTAGGGGTGCACCGAATGGGAAATTCTTGGCCGAAACCGAAAACCGAATGCCGAAAGGCCGAAAATGATTAATAGAAATATATATAATGTATACATTTTTTACCAATGTTGTTCAGCTGCCTGATTATGGAAAAATAAATGATTATGGCAAAACTTAACTTAAATAATAATCACTATTATGGGTCCATAAAACATTTATTCAGCACTTTTGAATGCATACAGTACATTAATTCCAAGTCAAGTGCATTTTCTTTTCTCTGTAGGATAACTACAACAAAGTGCATTCAGAACAAAGCCAAGGTGCTTTAAAACTGCATAAACATCTAGGCCAGTAGGCCTACAACAAAATAGTGTAAATAAAGACTGTAACAGCCAGGCCTTCAACAACAACAAATGCACCTATAAGTGCATGCATACAAATGTGCAAACTGGATAAATCCACATGAATGTAACTATTTACAAATGAAATTACAATTGAATTTCAAGAATCTGTAAATAAGGCTGTCTGTCCTCATAAGCAAAGTAGTAAACATTGTATAAAGATACATAAAGTGAAAACTGGATACAAAATCCACAATCAATTACAAATTAAATTACAATTTCAAGAATCTGCAAATAAGGTGGTCTGTCCTCATGAGCAATGTAAACAACATTGTATCATTTAGATACCGAAAGTACAATATATTGAACACTGTGCTGCTGTCATTTCCCCCTAATGATAACCTGAGATGGTGAATTATAACTCACAATGAAAATTGTTCAGGAAAGTGGGTATAGAGTAGACATGTAGAACTAGATAAGCTTATGATAAGCCAGCCTTGTCTACTTATTAAGGAAAAGTGGGAGGTTCTTTTTAATGAACAGTAGCTTCTCTGCTTTATCAGCCATAAGTCTGTTCCTCTTCTCATCAAGCACATGAGAGGCAGCGCTGAACAGTCTCTCGCTGTCAGTGCTTGTGATTTGATCTTACTCCGCATATTTGTCCGGGTGTTTTGATTTCAAGTGGTGGAGTAATCCCGAAGTGGTGAAAGTCTTTGCAGTTACACCCCCTCGAGAAATGTCAGCTGAACACGTTTTACAAATCGCAATCCGCGCCTCTTTCTCTGATATTTTTAAATATCTCCAAGCGGCAGACATGTTGGCTGTGAGCCAGCCGCGAGCATGGTCGCGCGCCGTGCTTGTCGCCGCGTTTTGATTACGTCATCACAACAACACGTTAGCTTACCAACGTAACCCTGTTCCCTGACATTCGGTGAT